CATACAGTATTTGTCCTTTTTAGCAGAATTCCTTCCAGGTTCAAGCATGTTGCAGCGGGTGTCAGAGTTTCCTTCCTTTGCAAGGATGAATGATATTCCATTACGGATAGGCCACCTTTTGTTTATCCATCACTTCTCAATGGTCACTGGGGTTGCTTCCACCTCTTGGCTATGGTGAATAATGTTTTTACGAAGAGGGGTGTACAAACATCTGTTTGAATCTCTGCTTTAATTCTTTTGGGTACACACTCATGAATGGAATTGTTGGATTGTATGGTAATTCAATGTTTAATTTTTTGAGGAACTATCATAACATTTTTTACAGCAGCTGCACCACTTAACATTCCTACTAGCAATGCACAAGGTTTTCAGTGTCTCCATACCCTCTCTAATATTTGTTATTTTCTGTTTTGTTTTGTTTTTTGATAGTAGCTATCCTAATGGGTCTGAACTGGTCCTTCTATCATTTTTGAAGCAAAGCCCAGACATCATAACATTTCACACACAAGTATTTCAGTATATATTTCTAGAAGATAAAGAGGCTATCAAAAAATACAACTCCAACCTGAACAATTAGTAACAATTCTTTAACGTCATTAAATATCCTGTCAGTATTCACAATTTCAACTGTTTCAGAAATATAATAATTCTTTTTTCACTTTTCAGTTTGGAACTGGAGTCAAGTAATATTCATACATTGTTATTAGTTTTTGTCTTTTAAGTTTCTTTAAATCCATAGTTTCTTTCCATTCTTTTAATTTTTTCCTTGCAATGTATTTGTTGAAGAAATTGGATTGTTTGATAAAGTTTCCCACACTTTGGATTTTGCTAATACATCTGGGTGTTGTTTAATATGGTCTTCACAGCGCTTGCAAATGGGTAGTTGAAACTAGAGGCCTGATCAGACTGAGGTTCAGTTATTGGGGCAAGATCAGTTATTAGGTAGTGCTGGAATCTTCTATGGGAAGACAGTATCTGGATGCCTCCTCGCCTGATACTAGCAGACATTTATGATCATTGGGTAGGCCTGCATGGTCCAATAACGTTGCTATTTAAATTTGAATTCCTTCAGGTTAAATAAAATAAAATATTCAGGTTCTCATTTGTACAAGCCCCATGTCAAATGCTAAATAGTCTCACGTTGCTTGAGGCTGCTGCGTTAGGGCAGAACATTCCGTTGCCACAGAGAGAATTTTGGGCAGCGTTGGTCTAGATCTAGTAATTTGTTTGGGCTGTGACATGGTGCTATTCTAATTCTACCATTCATTTTATATTTATTAGTTGGAAAGCTTCTGTAAGGAGAAATTCCCCAAATCTAGTATTTGGTTATCTGGTGATAGTTCATATAGGAAAATCAGGTTAAAGCTTAAATTCTTTCTCTTTAATGAGTTTGATTCTCTAAGTTACAAATTAATAAACCATGCAGACCTCAACATGATTGTACAATTATTACTCACTGAAGAGCCAACTAGTGAGTTATGGGTACACTTTTTTATTCTGTTTTATTCTTCTTTCTCGAGTTCCTAAATCCGTTCCCTTTCAGCGCTCTATTTTACATTATCATAGTCTCAATTTTCTGTGCTGTTTCCTATCACATGTATCTACTCTGTTAAGATCCTTTTTCCCTCTTTGAGGCCTTATTTCTATAATTCTTCTTCCTGTTGGAACTTCTCTTTTCATTGTTCTCTAGAGTTATATTTCCTTTTCCCTAAATCTTATATCTTCCTTTTTCTTGACTTTTTTCATTTGTTTGCTAAATATGTCCTCCTAAAATAACTTCTTAAAAAGAGTTTGTGGAAGGTAAAGTTTCTCAGCTATTCCATTTCTGAAAATATTTTTATTCTGTCTTCACTCTTGTTTGATAGTTTGGTTGGACAAAGAATTTTAATTTTAAATTCTGGACTCTCATATAAAGAATTAAGGACAAGTCTCAATATTATTATTCCTTATTAATTTCGGTATCATTCCTTGTTTGCCAGTAGACAGGGATTTCCGCCTTATGCCCTTAGGTAAAAAAGGTTCTCAGGGAATATTCTGGTGTTCTGTGCAGGATTCTATCTAAATAGTTCCCAAAGAGATGAATGTAAGTAGACATGAATTTCATATGTAAAATTATTTCTGAAATGTTAAATTTGCATGTGTAAAAATCAAACAATAGGTTCAAGGATGTGGTGTATGCTGTACATCAGCAGCTAATGCTTCTCTCAAAGCTTCACTGGTCTGAGAATAAAGGGGTGGAAATAAGAGTGGTCCCTCTACCGTCCCTAGCAATCCTCTTATGATTCACTGAAATTTCTGCTTCCCATTTCTGCAACATTGGTCTGGGCGGGCTCAGAGGTCTCAGTTCCCAAGAGACAAATGCTGTCACCAGGGACACTGGCATGGCTTGGTTAAGCTGGCAGTGGAAACGCCACCTAGCCACCTGGATGGCCACTTGGATTCACGCATGCCAGTGAATCAACAGCCAAAGAAGGGGTCACCCTACTGGCTGGAGTGCTGGAATGATCCTGATTGTCAAGGAGTTACCGCCACGCCATGGAAGATCAGTATTTCGGGAAGGCAGAAGGTATAGGGACCATCTTTTGGTCCTCGCAGGTCTCGGGATTCAAGGCAATAGAAAACAACAGCACAATACAGGGAGAAATGCTAATGGCCCAGATTCCTCAGCAATGAAGATTTGGTTCACCCTGCTGTGCAAAGAACCATGCAAAGAACCCAGGTGCTCACTGAGGGCAGAGGCAGGGTGTGGAGGAAGGTAGTGATAACGCCGTCATGAGGCCGCGGGACGGAAGTGAAGACCATTCCAGTTATTTGCATTTCCTTCTTGTTTTGACGTAAATATATTTGTATATATATTAACCAGTATTTTTCCTTCTCCCTCTCATTCCTCTACCAGCCGACATGTGTTAATAGTAGTTAACCTTACACCTCAGTGTTGAAGTCACAGGATCTCAAAGGGAGAATGTGATTCAGCCAGAAAAAGTATGAACACCATCCACAGATGGGTAAGGGGGCTTCGTATCCTCTTGGAGTGGGCGTCAGGTTGGTTCTGGTTGTTTGAGGAGTAGTTGCACCATGTTCGGTGAAAGCATGACTTTTGTGCTATTTTTGGAGCTGAATAGGGTTAAAGGGCATATGCAGACGCCAAGTCGATGCGTCATGGACCCTGGTAGCTTTGTACTCTGCCAACTTAATCTAAGATGGAGCTAAATTTCTCAGGATGCCCCTCCCCTATATGGTTCTCAGCTGGTGACCACTGCAAGAGACATTTCGTGTGAATTTGGATGCCAGCCGTGAAGCAGAGCTACATATTTCACTCCCTGAAGGTCGGTGCAGGGTGCCAGGCAAGAGCGCTGCTTGCCCGTATTGCTACCGATCTGCTAGTGCACTCTGTAGGTGCCAGGCGGCAGTGGGGCCCTGGCTCCTCCACTTCTCAGAGGATCTCCTCAAGCTTTGTTGAGTTCTGGGCTAAGTGTATATGTGACTCTTGGTTAAAGATACCAGCCTCTCCTGTAGATTGCCCATGCCATCTAAGTTAGAGGTGGTAAGAGAGACAGGGCTCTGGTGCTCCCTCACGTCTCCTGTTCTTGCCCACATCTAGCCTTCCTTCCCCTGCTGACTTAGTGACTTTATGCTCAACATTAGATGCAGAGGCGATGGCTGCTCATAAGCAGCCGTGATTGCAAAGGCTGTGTGTCATGGTGGCCCTGCTTTTCTGTTCTTTAAATTTTTGTTGGAGTATAGTTGAAACACAATATTATATTGGTTTCCAGTATACACCACAGTGATTCGTGGTTCTGCTTTTGTCATTGAACCACATCCTTAAAGACATGTCAGGAGGGACAGGGGAGCAGTGTGGGTTTCTTATGCCCAAGGCCACTCACTTTCCATGGAAGGAGCATACCTCACATCTTTGCTGTTGAAATTCATGACTTTGGTGTGAAAGGATCTCCAAGATGCCCTAAACCTTTCTATAGGGCTTCTTGGAATGCAAAATTTGGAGTCCCTTTTACATCTGTTTGCATCTAGAATAAACCTGGATTTACTGATCCATCTCTACGAAGTGAAGTTTGTAAAGAATTTTCTCCATGTTCCCATCCCCGCTTTCATATCAAAGCGTCCCCAGGTTGCGGCTACCTGTCGACCTCGGCGGCCTGCTGTGTGCTGAAGGGAAGAATGTCCGTCCCCACCCCAGACCTGCTGAACCGGTGCCTGCTTGCATTTCAATGCTTCTCAGACACATTAGAGTCGGAGAAGCGCTGGCTTAGACCTTGAGAGTTGGCCCACGCGTGCCCCTGGCATTCCTCTGTGAACAGGACAGGTTCCGAGGCAGCCCAGCAATAACGGAAGATCTGGGCCAGGGTCGGGGCTGTCCCCGAAGACCCGCTCAGATACTTTCACTATACCCAGGCCCTGCCTGCACAGGAAACTGGCCACTAAAGATAGGCTGTCTGTAGGAGACCCAAGGACAAGGGACAGAGGGGTGAAACAGGGCGGGACAGGAAAGGGAGAAAGCGAGTTCCTGGATTCCAAAACCACAGTGAGCCCAGGTGCTACTTTCTGCCTTTATTTAGCTCATAGCTTTGTGGGACAACAGCCCTTTGCTGACCTCTTTTCCTTTTGCATTTTTCCCCGTGGTAAAAAGTGACCATCGAAAACTCTTCTCCATGAACTGGAAACTTGAAGTTGTCCAGGACTGAGTGTGCCTGTCCTCCAGCAGTTTCGGGCAAGTTCCCTGCCTTTGTGGTGTAGTCATGGTGAAACCGAGAGGGTGGGGCTGTCGGGGAGCTGGGGAGGGGCTACCGACGGGCGGGGACCACCCCGTCCTAAGTGTTTACGCAGACTGCCCCGGGCTGTGCAGGTCTAACGTAAACTCTGTAGCAAGTGTGTCCGGGGACAGCCCGAATCAGGAAGCATCCCGCCGGACGGCTGCTTCTCGGAGTTCCAAGCGGCAGCACCTGACCTGCGCACGTGCCAGGATTCCTTTCTGCTCCTTTTTTCCCCCTTTACGCTGAGAAACCACAACATTTTCCTGGAGAGGCAAACAATATGCTTCACATTTTGATTCGAGAAAAAAGTTGTCCTCCCGTCCGCATGCCCACCCGTCAACCAGCCATCCAGCAAATACCCTGCGGTCGGCCTGTGTGCGTGGAGCTGCCATTTCCCTAAACTTCCGACCCACGGCCCGGGGCCAGCGACCGATTTCCCCTCCCGTTCTCAGGGCCCCGCGGGCCCGGCGCGCTGCGCTGGGAGGCGCCCGGGGTCCCTGCGGGGCGCTCCCCGCCCGGGGCTCGCCGGGCCCGCGGGGCGGGCGCGGGGCGGGGCCGCCAGGCCGGTCGCCCAGCCCTCGGGGCGCGCCCGCCCAGTCCGCGCGGCTCCGCAGGCCGCGGGAGGTGGGCCGCCACACCCCGCGGGGCCGCCGACGTCCCAGGAGCCGCCGGCCGCCGGCCCCGCCGCCGCGATGCGGGCCTCGGGGCTGCTGACCGCCGCCTTCCTCACCGGCGTGTGCGCCGCTCTGCTGGCCGCCGCCCCCGGGTAGGCGTGCGGGGCGGCCGGGGCTGCGGGGGGCGGCGCGGGGCCGGGACCGGCCGGGGCTGCGCGCTGCGCCGGGGTTGGGCTGCCGGTCGCCGCGGCGTGGCTCTCCGTGCGTGGGACAGTTGCGTTCCCACCCACGAAGCTGTCCCCGCGTCTCTCGGGCAGTAGCTGCTTCTAAAGAGTCGTTTTATTCTTAGTCCACGTTGTCTCTGCCTTTTCCTCAACGTCGGGCTCCTGAATAGCGTGCCTTCTTGCAGACACAGGATGCATTCTTCCTAGACGAGGTGTCCCACTTGGGCGGCGGCGAGGCGTGGTCGGGGACTGCGGACGGGGTGGGAGGACAGCTAGCGAGGCGCCCCGGTCCTGGAAAGCGCCCACCCCCAAGGCTTTTCGCGGTTGAGCCTTAACCCCTAGTTCGGGCAGAGAAAGTGCTGTTGGCGAGTTTCACGCTCTGCTACCCCTAGAGGTTTTACCACTGGCGGTTCAGTTTCAGATGGGGTATTTCAATCTGTGGCGTTTGTTAGATGTTTTTTTGGGCAGATGCCCAAGGATAAGTTATGAAAGAAACAGGCAAAATCTGTGCGTGTTTAAGCCAAGACGAAAATCACGCTGGGATGAGCTTGTCTGTAAAGAAGTTCGGGGCTTGCAGCTCCAGTAACTTCAGCTCCAGCGCGAGCCGTGCGCCCCGAGGCCCTTCCTGTGCTGTCTGCGGTGCACAGAATGGACACACTGCGGGAATCACTGCGTTAGAATGGATTTATGGGGATTATTGTTGCAGTAGCATTTCAGCGCGGCTGTGGGACGGTGTTAACGGGAACAACTGCAATTAGCACAGTAGAGGGACTCTTTCCCACCGCGAAATTCGAGGATCACAAAACAATGAGGTGTGAGGATAAACAATTCTGTTTTTGCCTTGCTGGGAACTCTTTAGGCCCAGGTTTCTGGTGACAGCCCCGGGGATCGTCAGGCCTGGGGCAAATGTGACCATTGGGGTGGAGCTTCTGGAACACAGCCCCCCACAGGTCACTGTGCAGGCGGCGTTGGTCAAGCTGGCAGCAAACCACACCATCTCTGTCCTGGAAGCAGAAGGAGTCTTTGAAAGAGGTAAGAAAACAGCGGAGTCACACCCTCCAGTTATAATTGGAAATGCTAGTAAAGTTATGTGTTCGGTAGGGTGATAGGGACACCCCAGATTTGCAGTGGCTGATGTAATACACTTTTAATTCTTAATTCATGTAAAGTCCAAAATCATGCTCCTGGACGCTCTCCAAGAGGATTCAGAGGCCCAGGTCCCTTCGTCCTGTGGCTCCATTACCAGCACCAGGAGGCTTCCAGTCTGCGGGGGACTCGCGTGGAGTCTCTCACGAGGGAGGTTTCCCCACCAGGCCCATAAGTGGCTCACGTCACCTCCGCTCCTCTCCTGATGGCCCCTTTAGCTGGAAGGGGGCTGGGAAATGTAGGTGGGTGTGTGCACAGAAGAGGACATGCACACAGTTAACAGTCTGACACAAAACTGTATGTATATATGGCTTGTGTAAACCACATATAACTATTTTTTTGTTTAGTGAGTGCAAAGGATTTTACTAAATAGGCCTGTGGGAAGGAAGAGCTACACAATAGTTAAAATCCAGTTTTACAGAATATTTCTTAGTTTTTAAAGTGACAGGGGAAAAAGAAAAATAATGTGAAAATAGGAGCCATTTGTGAAAGAATCCACGTGTCTTGTTTTTAGCTTTGATTCTAAGCTGGTGGGATTAGACTGGGTCAATGTTTGTCTTTTTCAATATGAGGAGAAAAATAATTTTGGGGAGTACATGCTTGAAGGCTTAAATTTTTCTCATTAAAATGAACATTTATTGTATTTTTTTCCTAATTGCAAGAATAATATATATGCAGTGCTTACTACCTGATAAACTATCCTGGAAATAAAGAAAATAAACCAAGATCACCTGTAAGTCCTACCATTCAACTGTAAGCACTGTTAACTAGAAGCACGTTTAGGTGTTTAGTCAGAGGCAGAAATTGAGGCATAAATTCCTGTAAATATGAAGTCATTTTGAAAAAAATCACTAAAGAGCACAAAATGAAGGGTGAGTGGGATTCCATACTAGTCCCCACAAATGTTTATCCTCTCTACCACCATCAGGAAATAAGATAAAATCGAAGTTTATCTCCGTGGTTCTTTCTCCCTTGGCAGGTGACTGGCTGGGTCGGGGGGGGCGGGGGTAGGCTTGGGATGGGAGCCAGGAAGAGGGGCCGCGTCCAGGGGCCGGGCCACTTTGTCCTTCCCAGGCATCCAGCAAGAGCGAGGCCTTGTATCCCCAGGGAGGAAATGTAGGTCAGTGCCTAAGTTCTGCCATGGAGTCTTCACACTGAGCGTGATCTTGGGCAGGTGACTTAACTGTTCTGAGCCTTAGTTTCTTTATCTTTGGAAAGAGGATGAAGAAACTACCGCCCGGTGGTGACACAGGTCAGGTGGGCACCCAGCACCGCGTAGGCACAGCTGTTAGTACTGTAAGTAGCAGCCATACTGAAGAAGAAGATGCAGGAAGCACCATCTTTTTACGTGAGGGAAGACATCTCCTTTCATCACCGAACCGAGTGGGGAAGGGAGTGGCAGGGTGGAGCGGGCAGAAAGTCGGCCCAGCAGGATAGAGCGGTGGGCAGAGGGGCCTGAAGCCCGCGGGAACCAGGCCAACCCGGGATGGTGTCTAGCTGGACCTAGAGTCGTCCCCTAACTTCATTAAAATCTCATTTACCTGTCAAAAGTCCCGCCGTCAGCCCCGGGACAGGCTGTAATTGTGAAGACCACCCCTGGGAGGGCCCCAGTAAGGAGAAGGCCCCCTCTTCCAAGAACCTTCCCAGAGGAATCAGGGCTGTGCCGCCCCCTGCTTTACAGGCCTGCTGTGCTTCTGACAAAAAGCGAACAGACCCGAGGGTGGGGCTCCTGCTGGGAGCGGAGGCCCCTGGGGTCGCTGCACGTCTGCACCTTGCCTGTACCTGCTTGTGTGGGACTCCACCCTGCGCAGCCCAGAACCCGCCCCTGCCGTGGAGGCCCAGCAGCTGGGGCTGCCCGCTTTCTCCCATTACCAGTACTATTATTTCTGAAAATGAATGAATCCTAGTTTATGATAGTTGCCAAAGAAAATACTGAAATGCTGTGTCATAGCGGATAATACCTAATAGTAGTTCCACATTCATTATGTATTAAGAATTATTTTGGCCTTCCTAGTGTAGCAGTTTTACTGTGGTGTGAGGCCCAGAATAACAGGCAATTGTGAGAAATACTTGGGATTTGCGTGGATGTTTGCATACTCTTACTCTGGGGTTTCTCCTACATCGTCCCTTCTGAACAGTCCTTTAGCTGTCCCCTTTCTTTTTGCTGCACACAGTACCAGCACAGGGGGTGCATGCTATTGTGGCTCTGTTTTTAGCTATATTTTTCTTTTGGGAGGATAGTCCAGCCCGTGCGTCTGGGAAGGCTGACATGTTCAAGACGGGGTCAGACAACACCATCCCAAGAGCCGAATGGATCTTTGAAAAAGAAAGATTGAAAATGTGCTTCTTTCAGGAGCTGTTTTTGACTGTGTGGTATTTTCATTGAAAATACCATTGCTGGGCTCTCTCTCAAAGGAGAATGTTCCTCCCTTATCAGAGGTTGAGAGTCTCATTGTTCTCAGAGCAGATGCATCCTGTAATGTTAGGACTTAAGGATCACGATATTTCTCCCTCCTTGTCTTTATTTATATCCTTTGCTTTATCTTGACTTCTCCAGTTGTAACAATATATAGGTAGACCAGGACGTCTCAATCAATGGGGTCTGGATTTTCCTAGGATAATATTTTTTGCTTGCCACATAAACAAAAATAAATAAATGCATTTTAGGTCTGATTGTTTAATCAATTTCTTAGGAAGGCCTCCAAGAAAAAGTTGGTTTTCATCAAGATTCATCTTCCAGTAGAGCTGGGAAAGGAGGAAGTCTTTTTCTGAGTGGCTGATTCTAATGGTCCTGGTCTTCTTAGAGATTCCTGGGGCAGGGCAGTGTTTCACTACAACCAGAATGCATTTCTAGCTTAATTTGTGTCAGAAATTAAGGACACATTGAATAAATTAAAGGATTCAGACTGGAGAATATAGACTTTGATAAAGGCAGGGAAAGGTATGGCTTTGTCCTCAAGGGAGAGTTCATTTACTTGTTTGACAGATGGGGGGAAAATTTTGACATTCCTATCCTTGAGGGCAGCAACATTGATTATATTACCATTAGTTTATTCATTTTTTAATGTATTAATTCTGCATTTATTAGGGTTCAGTTATTTATGGGTGTGTGTGAACAATAGCCCTTTAGAAAAGGTGTTTCTACTAAACTTCGCAGAGTTCTCCAAAGGTGTATTAATGCTTCTTGAGTGTTGAGATTCAGGCATTGAAGTCTGTTTCTTTTCACTACCTCCATCTCTGGAGTGAATCAAGCTAGGTTCCTAATTTTCCACTGTGTACAAGAGTTAGTTAAGTAAACAAAATTGGCAAAACATGGTTAAAGTTCAGCAGATAGTAGTTACTGGAGGGGAGTAGACAGAGCAGCTACTGGCATTTGAAATCGAGTCATTCTGCATGTGGGGCGGAGGGTGAGTCTGTCCCCTTCTTTCTTCCCTCCTTGGTTTTTTTATCTCCAGCTTTACTGTGATGTTGCCCTGGGCTTCAAAGCCAAATCAGGAAAACAAGTCAGCACTTGCATTCACAGGTCCTGAATGAGAACTACCTTCTCATTCAATAAGGCATATGGATAACTGAATTATTTTTGATGTCCTTGAAGCCACTTTCTTCCCCTCTCTGTATTTTAAAATGTTCATTTGTAAACTGTCAGAGTTTTTCCTGAGTGAGATTTGCTTCAAATAATAAAGAACACACCTTTCCCCCCATTAGTGAATTCCTTGTCGCTGGTTTCACATAAACCTAAGTCAGGAAAAAACCTACTCAGAAAATGCCACCTGTGAGCTTGGGTGCCCTGCAGGGCCTCTCTGGGGCGTGCCTGCTGGACCGGAGGCACTGTTTGTTTATTTTAGGTGCCAAGCCTACTTCCATCTTCTCACTGAGGTATTGGGCTGAGTCATCCTCCATGAGCACATGTTTCTCTTTTAATAGCTTGCTTTTTCTTTTTGCTCTAAAATCTTGGACTTGGTGGGTGTTTACCTTCTATTTTTTTTGAGAATTAAACATTCTTTTACAGTCCTTTTGTCTTTCTCACGTTGATTAGGGGTGTTTTCTTTTCCATCTTGACCCAGTCAGGGTGGGAAATCAGTATTTCTTAAATTTGAGATAGTAGCTAAAAAACTTAGATAATCATCCAGTTGAGTTTGAATGGCTTTCTGGTGTGAACAAAGCTCCTGAACATACATCTCATGGCTAGTAGATCAAAACCAGTCTGTGGTTTTCATGAGAGTAGATTAATTAGTGGAGTGGGCAGGACCTCCCGGGCAGGTTCTCACAGACAGCTTTGCTAGTAGAGCTCAGTCTGAACTTGCAGTTATGTGAGAATTATTTTGAAAGGGTGTGGGCATCTCATTCACATGTCTTTGCTGTTGTGTGTGATATGCATAGATAGGGACATGGTGCTGGAGAATCAAGGACCACAGTGCAATCGCAGTGGGCTTGGGCTGTAAAGCCAGGCTGCCTGAATGCCCTCCCATTAGTGGCTGTGGGTAGGCATGATCTTATGAGCCTTTAGTTTCAATATCTGAAGAAGAAGCTTCCTGCGCTAATCAATTAATTATGCAGTTATTGTGAAGACTGAGTGAAGTAACATGTTTCTAGCATGTAACAAATAGGAATTATTCAAGAAGATGGTAGCTATTGTTATTAGAAGAAAATAGCAGCAACTATTTCAGAGGTAATTATTAATCACCTGTTGGGATGGTCTTGCACTGAGAACTCTGAAGACAACACTGGGAAGGAATGGAAAGAGGTTTGAAGTATTAAATACTGAGCTTCCTTCTTACATCAGGGACCTTATGCAGAATATGTAACTTCAGCAACTTCTACTCTCTTCGTTGTGGAGATCAGAGACTGAGGCTAAGAGAGAACTAATGCTTTTCCCGAGGTAACAC